CTTTGGCACATGGGCAGCTGCTGGCGGGGCTCGAGAGTGAGCTCCAAGGCACCACGGAATGACTGCATCTCGCAAACGATCGCTAAGCCTCCATCTTCCCGATCTAAACCGGAAAGGGAGCGAACTTGTGGCTTAACGGATAGTGCGTTGTACTTCTGTTCAGCCAGTCATGGGTTCGAGCCTCCGATGTCGCAACACCGGAGGTTGGGCATGGCCGGCTGGTAACGGCTAATAAGCCAGAAATAGCCATTTCAGTCTCCGTTATCTTTGTGGGTAATATCATTCTATTTGGATCGCTAGCCGTTTTGCGGCTGCTAGCGAGGCTCGAAACTGAGCCCCAAGGCAGCATGGGACGAGTGAGTTCCGTAGCCGATTGGTGAGCGGCGCTCATCTACCAGTGTTTAAATTATCGGAACCAACTGGGAGAGGATATTTATAGGCCGTGTCAGCTGACTGGTAGGAATCTCCAAATATCCAAAAAGACTCAGTAAATCAGTGCCTCGCTGCATGCCAGGAGTGGAGTAAACCATCCTAAACGGCACGTTATAAATACATGCATTTTCAGTGAGGAAGACTTCCAAGTCTCAATACATTTATGGTGCTCAATCTTATTTGCTTCTTTGTCGTGTTTGGAGGTTTGTAACAACACTTGCGTTACTGTCGAATAGCCGGTGGAGTCGTAACACAGACCTTTTGAACTGTTAGGCCATCAAGGATGGACTTTCGGTCAGATGAGTTTGAATTTTTAACGGTCGATACGTGGATGACATCGGTCCGACAACAGCGCCCTGGTCCAAAAGTTATACAGTTTTCATCCATCGCTCAAGTTTTCTGCAGAGGTAGATAATGAAATTCCGTTCCATGATGTCCATCTACGAAGGCAAAAGGATGGATGTATTCAGCGTAGGGTACTCCGAAGGAAAAACATGGCCAGTACAATACATAAACTTTCACAGTTTTGTTCCCCTAAATATAAAATAATATTTAGTACAGGGATTGGCATCTAGAGTACTACGGATCTGCCCTCCTGAATCTGTTGAAACAGCACTCCAACAAGTGCAGAAAACGCTTCTTGAAAATGGATACCCAAAAAGGTCATCCTCAGGAATGTTGGTGAGCGCACCGAAAAGCCTGCTATTCTAACTGCAGAGAAGAAAGGCCTATCCATAAGACTGCCTTTTCTTAGACGATGCAACAAGCAAACTGATAAGACGACGTCTGAACACAACCCTCACAGTCGCTTCCCCTGCGGTGAACTTACGCGTACTCTTCACGAACTCTCCCCTCCTATGCTTGAGAGATAAACACCGACTCCCGTTAAAGGCCACATCGATGTGCATTTGCACTTTTACCTGATGCTGTGGGGCAGGGTATATTGGCCGAACAACGAGGCGCCCGGAAAAGAGGGTATGTGAACACCTATCGTCCTGGCTAAGTTAAGGTGGAACTAGATCGATCGCGAATTCTGTTGTCGTACACCTCGATACGAATAGCCGAGTTGATCCTAACGAAACATGCCACGTTGTCTACTGGACACTAGGCAACTTTTCTAAGCGCCCTCGCCAAGGGGGGTGTTAGCAACAGCCGCGGCAGTGGCCATACGGCTAGGAAATGCAGTTTTGTGCTGTCAGAAGACGCTAAAACAGACACTCTTCCGTGGTCGACGCCAGGTGGCGATCGCATGTTGGTCCCACCCCCTGGTGACAGTTGTTCACTTCCTGCAGGTGACATTGATTTTCACTCCGCTTACTCGCCCCATTACCAATGCGCACGGCCTACCCTATTTTTCTACCGCGCCCTGTCCACTGGCTTCTACCTGCCGATCTCGCCATGCGAGCGGTGTGAGTAAGTGGAGTATAAGATATTTCTAAACCCTGTCTAATACTACCCATGAATGCCCTGTTTCGGCTGTGTCTGAGAAATAGGGTACTCGTTGTTGTAAGATCGATGACGGGAGTTAGCCGTCCCATTTTGCCTTACGGCTCAGTTCTGAGCCCTGCCAACAACCGAAAAACTGCCAATACAACCGAACATGTGGGTCCCAGAAAGTAATTGAGAAGAGGACTCGATTTCTGGGACAATACTTTTATTCGCCTGACGTTTCGACATCCGCCCCGGATTCGTCATCAGAGACATAGTCAGAGAGCAGTAGCAGATAAGGGTAGCGTATGCATGTGAGTTTGCAGTATTTATAGAATACAGTTTTTACTTCAAATATACAACGGCAATTAACGGTAATTGCCTTCTTGCGCGTTGAAAGTCTGTTAAACGGCATGCGGGCTCTGACTAGCTGAACTTTC